TAGTGGCAGTGCAAAGCGTGTGTCGTGTTATGCCAAAGGTCACGTGTTAGCCGTATTATGCCCTTTCTACGCCGACGGGGAATGAATTTTTAACGGTTAAATCGTTTTACTTGATTTTAATTTGAAATTTGTTGTTTCTTGTTACTATGAACATACTTTGATTCGTGTTTTTGTATTTACTTCTTTTGTTAATATTGTGGCTTTCCTCGTATTATGCCAGTATTTTCGACATATATCTGTCATACTTATGTAATAATGAAATCAATTTTAGACACACTGCTCATTGCTGTTCTGTTCTGTACTGTTCTGATTGCCTCACTTAAACTTGTTATCGTTATTCTTTCACAATTAATTTGCTTATCGTGTAATTATTTCTATTACAACACATCCAAGATCAAACACCAAAAACCTTGCACTATACAGAACTTAGGTACAACTTCAGTAAAATTCTAAAATACACCGGACCTTGTGTTCAAAAGTCGTCCTTGCAACTTCTAAGCCAGTGGAGCGGTCATTAACAATTGTTATCTTGATAGCACGCAACTAGAGAAAGCTACCAAAACATTTTCCTTCAAAGCCGGCCAATTTAGGAGTTTATACACCTTTACTGAGGCAATTAGTACAATGATATTTGAAAATGTTACTGCCTTATAGTTACCTACGATGTCTAAGTACATGTGTTGTATTATTTTTTCATTGGGTAAGCCGGTAAACGAGCAGACAGATCACCTGATGGGAAGCAATCGTCGTTGCCCATGGACACCTGAAACACCAGAGGCGTTACAAGAGCATTGCCGGCCTTTTGGGGATTAGGAGTTTGAGGATTGTTAGGCATTGCCTCCTGTACAGTCCACTCATTGTCTTTATTACCACTTGGCTGGAAACGCTCTAAAATATACAAAAAACTATTTACATTTGAAAATAGCTCATAGCGGCATCATTAGCTAGGCAATGCTGAATAAAATTCCGGAGTATATCATAATACTGACACTCGGCAGCTGGCTAGGAGAATGAGGATCGTAGAACAATGAAAATTCGATCTACCGAATATGTATGGTGCGTCATAACGTCAATCTGCATGTGATACAGTTTTAAATAATAAGAAGTAGGGCAATAGAAACCGTCATTCTCGCTACCGATATAACTGACTGCAGTGCAACGTTTCACGGATTCGATTCCCGATCGGGAAAAAGTTTTGTGTTATCTACAGATTGTTTTTCCGGATCTAGGTATGACATTTATTTATTTATTTATGACATGAACTTGTATGTTTGTAAACGCACCAACGAAACAGAAAAAAACCCTAGTCTGGAGGAACGGTTTAAAAAAAAACAAAACCTGCGTGTTGAAACAAAACCTTAAGGTTTACTACACTGATAAGCGTAGGCTGTACGCTATACTTCTCAAACGATCGATTTAAAAACAGATTAGCAACACACGCAAACAGTTTTCATGTCTTAAGGTTGGTAGCTCCGTGACCTTCGCGCGTATTTTACGCGGGGAACTGACGAAGGCAATTTTATATACCTCTACAGCCAGTGAACTTATTTATTATGCAGCTTACAAAATAAAGATTGATTCTGTAGACAGTAACCATTGGTTGGCTACCGAGCTAACATATAATTTACTGTTCTCTAGAGATAGATATGAATTGAAAGATGATCTAGTGACCTGGGTGCTTACTCGTGAAAACGCTTTTTGGGAGAGCCCCATGCTTCGGCACGAATGAGCCGGCTCGACCGGAGTGATACCACGGCCGAGCAGAAAACCGACGTGAAGCAACGCTTGCGTTGTGTTTCGTCGTGTGAGTGAGGTTACCGGAGGCCCAATTAAAAAGTCTCCCCAATCCCTGAATCCCCAACGATCCTCAATCTCCTAAGCCCCAAAAGGCTGGTATCGCACTTGTAACGCCTCTGGTGTTCCAGGTGTCCATGGGCGACGCGGATTGCTTACCATTAGGTGATCCGTCTGCTCGTTTACCTGCGTATGCCATAATAAAAAAAAAACAAACTCAATGTCAATGCGATTTCAATCCAATAAAATCTCAATAATTATTCAATGTCAAAACTATACAACTCCTAGCTGTTAAAATAGCATTCAGAGTACGGAATATAAAGCCAAACTCAATACCATTTAGTTCATTCAATATCCACGCAATACGCTTGGAATAGACGCTAGTGTTGCAACTCGAGAGTACAAAATTTAACAATACCAATATCGGTCGATCGGAATTGTTTCCTCCTCTTAAGCTCAACAGACAGTTTTTTGAAAACCGAATCAAAATCGGTACAGCCAATCGTGAGATAGTCGTGCACAAACACACAAACATACAACTCAAAACTGATTTGACTGATTGAACCTATTTTCTTTTTGGAGTCGGTTAATAGACTATCTACGCTACGTTTTCCTGGTATCGAATTGTAAAATTTTGCAAAATGCGGGCCACCCGTATCATTACGTAGTTTTTATACTATATGGGTACTTAACATGTAGACAGGCGCTGTAGATATTTTCCTTAAATACTTGTTTACATATTGTAAATTATCATTTTTCGTTTTTTCGTATCGTCTAATATTAATTGCAGACGGATCACCTGATGGTAAGCAATCAGCGTCGCCCATGGACATCTGGAACACCAGAGGCGTTACAAGTACGTTACCAGCCCTTTGGGGATTAAGAACTAAGGTGATTGGGGAAGAGGGGGGGGGGGATAATTGGACGCCGGTAACCTCACTCACGTTGTTTTACGTCGGTTTTCTGCTCGGCCGTGGTATCTCCGGAATTTAACGTTCCATTAATTTCGTGGTGGTATCTTCTTTAGATCCTAGCTTACTGGAGTTGCAGGGGTTCTGGAGATTATAGCAGGCTTGGCCCAATAAAATAAGCTTTAAGGGCTCGTACACAAAACTGCGATACGATGCGATATGAATTTGCAACGCAGAAAATTACGATGCGAATTGCTGTGATGCGATTTCGTGCGACAAGGCGTCTCCCTGGGTGGCCATTCCTTCGACGACCGTCAACCGTACTAAACGTGTCGCGGAGAACCTAACGGGTAACCGGGGCTCCGACTCGACGTGCAGGAGAAGGAACGGGGTGGTTTTTAGTGAGTAACAGTCTGACACTCCCTTCCGCCTCACCCAGGCGGGAGCAGCCATTCAATGATTTTCCCCCCTTAAAAAAAAAACCGTACTAAACGTATTTTAAATTAAGAACTACGTTGTGACATAGATCGTAAAAAGATGTGTGCACTTCTGTTATTGCTTAGGAGATACAGGAAACACTGCCTCATTGGCCGAGTGGTCGCAAGTGCGACTGCCGGGCAAGGGGTCTCGGGTTCGATTCCCGGGTCGGGCAAAGTATTACTGGGATTTTTCAAAAATCTCAGTGGTAGCACGGAGTCAGGAATTGTGCCCGGTATATGGCAATAGGCTCACCCCCTATTACATGGGACTCATGACATAAATAGTGAAAAGTGGGTGTTACATTGTACAGTGGCATTAAGTGCCGTAATGTGCACCTCTGCCTACCCCTACGGGGATAAAAAGGCGTGATGTTATGTTATGTTATACAGGAAAAAGAAACGAAGAAGATTTTGTGAAGATTTTGATGCGCGATGCGAATCAATTCGCAAGTTCTTGCGATTGCGAGAGAGCTCGCACATTTTTGCGATGCGACGTCGCATCGCAGTTTTGTGTACGTACGAGCCCTAAAAATACACCCAATAAGACTTTGTTCCCTGGGACTCAAACAAGGGGTGTTTGCTCGACAACCACACAAGTCACCAAGCAATGAACAAGGTATTGAAAACATGCAAAACTGTCGTAAGAATAATATATTTTTAATATACTTTTTGTACAATAATTATTGACGTTGGTTCGTACAAAATACATAATTTGAATGTTACGTGTTTACTATCTAATATTAAATAACCATCAATTGAAACATTCTATTATTTTATTTTATTTAATACTAGCTTTTACCCCCGCGGCTTCGCTCGCGTCACAAAAGAATAAAAAGTAGCCTATGTGACATATATCAATACACACAGCGCCATCTATATCAATACTTTTGTTTTCTCTCGGGAATATCACATTTTTCCGGAATAAAAAGTACCCTATTGTTTAATCCACACTTCTAACTTTATGTCTGCAAAAATTCAAAGCAATCGGTTTAGTAGTTACGGCGTAAAAGCGGAACAAACAAACAAACTTCTTTCCGATTTATAATATTATTAAGGATAGTTACCTCACTTAGGTACTCGCGAGTGAGGAATTTAAATATGAAATAAAATTGAGGCCTTTTCATGTAAAATAACATAAAATCACGCCTTTTATCCCCGAAGGTGTAGGCAGAGTTGTACATTACGCCATTAATACACTTGTACAATGTAACACCTAATTTTCACTATTTATATTACGGCTCCATGTAATAGGGGGCCTAGACCCTATTGCCACATACCGGGCACAATTCCAGACTCAGAAATCGAACCCGATCCCTTACCCGGCAGTCGCACTTGCGCACACTCGGCCAACGAGGCAGTCAGGTTTCAGTTTTTTTTTATGGGATAAGCCAATAAAGGAGCTGACAGAGGATTATTGTAGATAATAACAAAATCGTGAAACACGTCGTCCCCAGTCGTTTCCATCATCGTACCACAAGACAGTCGACGAAGCGTCACCGATTCATGGTAGATGTCCCACCCACACGCACGAAGCGCTTCGCTTCAAGCTTCCTTGTGCGTACTGCTAAGGAGTGGAATCCTTTGCCAGAGTCTGTATTTCCTGAAGGGTATAACCTGGGTGTCTTCAAGGCCCGAGTGAATAGGTCGCTTATGGGACGACGTGCTCCATCGTAGGCCGCATCATCGCTACCACCAGACGAGATAGTGGTCTAACGTCGGCCCATCAAATATATATAAAAAACAAACATATTTTATATATTTATATTTTTGCAGGATTCTTCACATCAAGAGGATAAAAATAAAACAACAAAATGTATAAAACATATGAGTATATTTACAAATATTAAACTTAAAACAATAACTTAAACAATATAATATATTTGGGTAAAATTCTCACTAGGACGACGATTATGATATAAAAAGTATTTATTTTCATACAATTGGGTACTTTTCTTAATCAAAAATTAATTATATCTACTGGTCAATATCATCAATATCAATAAAATAATATTAAACAATAATCACACTTTCATTTTGATTTATAGTTCAATAGTTTTTCGGAACTGTCACGAACGACAGTTTTCTATGAATTTGGTACGAGATTGTGTATTGTGAAGTCACGTTTTTTTAGCGTCGAACAGCATACTTATTTCTTTAAAAAATGCTGGAGAAATACTAATATTAAGTTGGTCATAAAATCAATTAATAAAAGTGTGAATTTTTAAATATTTTATTGTATTGAACAGTCGAAATCCTTTATTTTTGATTAAGGCAAGCACTCAATTGGCGGTCCTTCAGGGCCCCCTGAGAATGGGGCCTTGGGCACGAGCCCCGAGTGCCCTATGGAAAAGACGATACTGTTGAGTATAGCTAGTATAGATGATAATAATAAACCCTGTAATGGCTTCTAATCCAACAGTCGACTATCACTGACTTGCTATTGATGACGCCATGTCATTTAATAATTTAATTTAATGTAGATTAAAGCTAATACGGTCATGAAGAGGCTTCCAACTGAAGTCGTAGCTGATGATGCTGAAACAGAAAGAATAATGTTATATATGTAAGTCGTGGTGTCCCGGAGGTTTAAGACGCCCGCTTCTCATGCATGAGCGCGCGGGCTCGAAACATACCAACGGCAAGTACCAATGTGACATTTTCCGAGTTATATGTACTTTCTAAGATTATTTAGACACCACTGACAAACGGTAAAGGAAAACATCATGAGGAAACCTAGGCTTATAATTTCTAAAACATAAGTTTGAAATCGTCAACCCACATTGAGCAAGAGTGGTGATTAATGCTCAAACCTTCTCAAACTCAAAACATTTATTTCAATTAAACCATAATTTGGTACTTTTGAAACGTCAACAAATATGAAATAAATAATAGTCTGTCAGTCTGTCCGTCAGTGAAGCTAGGCGCTCGTTCAAAATGTCGATTAGAGTGGAGAAGAACGAGCAAGAAACTCCATCCGTTACTCTTTTAAAAAAAAGTCTATTTTATACTGCTCTGATACATATTCCAATATTGTACACACATGTGAGAATAATGTAAAGACATACCTGACGCAACATTCAAATAACAGAACATTCTAAAATAAAAAACAAAACCAAGAGAAAACAAATATCTTAAGTCTGACATGGTCCTCACATATGTATACTGACAATCCATATAAAATAGTGCTTCTATACAAGAAAAAAAAATCTCAGTGCAGGAAGGGGCTTTGCTCAGCAGTGGGCATTTATAGGCTATTGATGATGATGAATTAATAAAAAGCAATACTTACTGCATGTCCCTAATGCTTCAGAATAAGGATATTCAAATGAACACTGGCACAGACTATTTCTGCATTGTACTCTGTCTGTAATATTTTCTAAGAAACACTCGCTGCTTCGCGAACACGGCTCGAATAAACCTGAAATTATTATGAACTTACATAAAACAAAATCCTGCAAAAAATATTGCATTTCATTCATCATTCATTCATCGTTTTTTCATCAATCATTCAATCACTCAATCTGACATCCATTCATTCGTTTTTTCATCAATCATTCAATCACTCAATGTGTCATTCATTCACTCATTCATTCGTTCAATCATTTAGCTTCACCTTGCGTAAAAACAGTCAAAACTGAGTCTGCGGAGCGGCAACATTGCGTCGCTCACTCCTCATACAAAGCCTATAGTCATTTATAGACTGCATGCATTCGTCAAATGACGTACGACGTGTGGATAGTAGATGTTATACATTTTAAGGCACTATTACATTTTGAATCACTTAAGGGGCCAGTAGAATTCTAGCGCAAGGCCCTGTCTTGCACATGCTGAACTGGTCCCATTTCACAGCAGACGTGGGACATAAACATGTATCCATCAGTACCTACTAATAGATTAACACATTTGTACATGTCACTTGTTTTTTAGCGTGTAATAAAGTTCTTAATTACTCTTTTTTTATACACTACGTTAATAAAAAACCGAAAAAATCAGTGAGCTGTGTGACATCGCCGCGACTGCGCACGTTGCTCATGAGGAAGAACACCTCTGTGGTTCGAAACTAAGTAGCTTTTCTCAGTATATTCACGTGCGTAACCCGCGAGAGTATCGTGTCACGATAGCACGTGCCGCTGCTGCTGCCGAGAACCTACCAATAAAACCAAACGGCGAAAGTATAATCGCCTGATTGGCAATTATGCTTTCGAACCGTTTGGGGTTGAAACTTTAGGGCGGTGGGGCCCAAGTGCACATCTTCTTTACAAAGATATTGTAATGAGGATGGTTGACACTTCAGGTGACCGAAGGGCTGGCTTCTACCTTGGACAAAGGTTAAGCATTGCCATTCAACATAGCAATGCTGCCAGTCTTTTGGACACCCTACCTCACGATAACGATGAGGAAAATGGTTTTTTTGATGCCTTATTATAGCTTATTTATTAATATTACTTTATTAAGTTTTCATTTAGTAATAGTTAATAGTAATTGTATATAATTGTTTATTAAAAGGAATTGCGACTTGTATTGAATTGTATTATAAAAATATTTATAAACCTTCTCCTAAGTCTAACAAACCCTTTTCTGAAAACCCCTATCAAAATCAGCTCAGCCAATCGCGAGATACCCGCGCACATACAGACAAACATACATACATACAGGTCAAACAGAGAACTCTTTTTTTAAGTTGGTTAAACTGTCAAACACCAAGCGGTCACCGGTGACCGCAACCTATTGTTCTATAATTGTGTCTATAATGTCGGTACTCGACGAGTAAATAAGTCTTTCTCACCAGTCTTTGGCCAACAGTAGCCGTCCCGTAGATGGTACCCTTCAAAGCAAACACATCGACCTTCTTCGCAAGAACTAGCGGGTCCTGTGGTAACGGTACATTGGGCAGTAACTGTGCATGGTGCGCTGGGATGAATCAGATCTGGAACATAGAATCGTGGTTACTGACACGCACTATTCGATAGCTGCTTAAGTGTGGGACAGCCATGCTTCGACACGAGTGATACTGTACAGCCCTAGATTATAGTATGATGCCATTTTGTCTAGTTGTATAAGTCTTGTGTATTCCTTATTAGAGTAGTATCGATTTGTGCTTCGCAATAAACGCACGTATATTGGCCTACTGTTTTACTGATACTCACTTAAGAAAGTACACCAAAATATACCTCAGATAGCAAGTGCACAATACCACGGCCTCACAGAAGCTCAATAACGCTTACGTTGTGTTTCGTCGTGTGAGTGAGGTTATTGGAGGCCCAATTATACCTCCCCCTCTTTCCCTATCCCTGACTCCCCAACAATCCTCAAATTTTTAATCCCAAAAAGCCAGTAACGCACTTGTAACGCCTCTGGTGTTCCAGGTGTACACGGGCGGCGCTGATTGCTTACCATCGGGTGATCCGTCTGCTCGTTTAAAAAAGGTAGAAACAGGACTAGGAACGGGGTGGTCTTTAGTCAGTAAGAGTCTGACACTCCCTCTCGCCTCACCCAGGCGGGAGAATACATTTTATTATTATCCCCCCTCCCCCCGCCTAAAATGTACGCTATGTAAATATAAGATATAGCAAGCAATTTTGATACTTACGTGGCCAGCATACGTAATCATATCCCACGAACCCTTCAGCGCATTGACATGTGTGGCTGTCCAAATTGCAAAATGAGTGTCCTGTGACACAGTCGTCACCATTACAGATGCTGCCAATAACTGAAATAAAAAACAAATAAGGCCCTGAAGGAATATATCCTCTCGCGCGTTTCTCGTACACACGGGTGTACGTTTAACGTTGCAAATAAATTATATATAATATACAATATCCTATCCGCCGTCTGTCTGTGTTTTTTTAATACCTCTAGATAGAGTGATTCTTAAGGAAGATTTACATGTACAATTCGTGCATATTGCACCACCATGAAGCCGGAGTGATACCACGGCCGAGCAGAAAACCGACGTGAACGTGAAACAACCACAGCGTTGTATTAGTGAGGTTGCCGAAGGCCCAATTATTACCCCCCCCCCCTCCCCCAATTTAATCTCACTAATGCTTGAATACCTAACAATCCACAAATTCGAAATCCCCCAAAGATCGGTTCTATAGTGTTGCGGGTGTCCATGGGCAACGCGATTGCTTTACATCAGGTGATCCGTCTGCTCGTTTACCGGCTTATGACATAAAGAAACGTACCACATTTTGAATATTTGCTATCAAATAATGAAGTCTCAAGTCTCAATAATCAACGCTTGAACGTTTCTATACTTTTGAATATAGACATAAC